CAACTATGTTCAAACATCCTCAATGAAGGACCATCCTTGAGAGTTACACTGCAGCGTATTTAATACAATCCCATATAGTTCGGGGTATCTGTTTAAGAGACAAACACATATTCACACATACATATACAGATACATCTATGTATGTACACCTATGTATCTATATGTACATGTGAATATGTATCTGTATATGTACACACACACACACACACACAATATGCACAGATTTGTGGAAGTACATCTAAGGAAACGTTAACCAGGACTGACTGTCAAGTAGGGGACGGTCCCAAAACTAACTTCAAACCTTTCACTGTTTGTGTGTATAACAAAGCCAGTATTACTTTTACTTAATTTTGTTTTAATTTAAAGAGAAAAAAAATAAAGACAAAAAGTTGCTAGCTGATGCATCTATTTATAAAAACAGAGAGAGAGAGGTGCACTAGAAGAGAGAGTGACACAATTATTTGAGGTTCCCTACAAGTTTGGTTCCATAAAAATACATTCATGAGGGATACAAAGCTGAACTCTCTGCAAAAACAAATAATTTAAAAATTTCTCTGTGATATAATAGGAAACTGTGGCTGCCTTCTGAACACATAGGGTTTTTTTTCCTTTTATAGGTATGTTTTGAATAATCCATTAAAACATTCAAACAGTAAAAAAAAGTGGCACTCCCACTAGATAACGGTAAATTTCTTCCAAATAAGAATCTGTCATTCTTTCCCCTTCTATATCCCTGCCTTCCTCCACTGGGGTAGCAAATAAGAACTCATTCATAAAGGCTTCTTACCAGACACTATGCTGTGAGCATTTACATAGTTGATCTCATTTAATCTTTGAAATGATCCTATAAAATAGGTATTCTTATGCCTGTTTAAAACAGAGTGTGGAGGAGTACCTGGCTGGCTCAGGGGGTGGAGTGTGTGGCTCTTGATTTTGGAGTCATGAGTTCAAGCCCCACGTGGGGTGTCGAGATTACTTAAAAATAAAATCTTATAAATAAATAAATAAATAAATAAATAAAACTAAGTGTGGAAGATTTTATTTTTGGAAGATGGCAGCTTCTAGATATTCCATCCCACATGCTCATCTTAGTATATATCTATGCCACTCTTCATCAAGCGGTGCGATCTACGTTCTCTATGCTCAACTCTGGGGGAGGCGGAGGCAGAACTATGACATCTCTGAGGCTAGATCAGAGAAGGTCATGCTGCTTCCACCTCACGCCCTTGGGACGCCGATCCTCAGAACCCAAGTGCCACCCTCTGAGGAAGGTCAAGGCAGGTGGAGGTGGTAGTGTGCCGGCTGACAGCCCAGGCCAAGCCAGCAGACAGCCGGACACGCAAGTAACAAACTTTGGAGAGGACTCCAGCCCCAGCCACAACAGGACTGTGACTGCAGGAGAGGATCCAAGTGAGGCCTGCCTAGCTGAGCCCAGGCCCACGGAACCACAAGGGAGATTAACGTGTTGGTATTGTCAGCCGTCAAGTTGGGGGGATTTGTTAGGAAACATTACATAACCAGAATAATGAAGAAAGAAAGGTCAGTAACCTGCGAGCCCGCCATGTCTGCCTGGCCTGGTGACAACCTTCCTGTGTTACGCCCTGCTCCCTACAACAGCAAATGACGCGGAACAGTAAGAAGAACGCTCACCACATCCCTAAACACTTGGGCATTGCCTAGAAAACAAGGTAGAAAATACACGCAGAAAACCATAAAATGAAGACCAACATGATGACCCAGCATTCCTGGCCCCACTCTGACCCCAAGCTATGAGTCCAATTTCACCATTACTCACTTTTCCTATTCATTCTACATAAATGACTATCTCTGTGAATTCCTGTTCTGGAATATTTTCCCTAGGGTTAAATATTTGTCAGGCATCTAACTGATCAGGAGGTACACCCGGGTGACACTAGGTCTCACTGGTACTTAGACTGGATTTTAAGGTAGAAGAAAGAATAAAGATGTAACAGTAAACCAACAAATTGAAACCTACCAACGTTCCCATTTAAAAGAACATATCAAATAATTCCTACTATACTGAAACAAGAACAATAACAAAAAAAAAAAAAACCCACAAAGGTTTAAAGGATATAAAAAATGCAAGTATTTACATATATAAAATATTTATGTGTGCAGCACCTGGGTGGCTCAGTCAGTTAAGCATCCAACTCTTGATTTCAGCTCAGGTCATGATCTCATAGTTTGTTAATTCAAGCCCTGTGTTGGGCTCTGCACTGATGGTGTGGAGCCTGCTTGGGATTCTCTCCCTCCCTCTCTCTCTGCCCGTGCTCATGCTCTCTCTCTCAAAAATAAAGAAATAAGCTTTAAAAAATAAATAGTGTTTTATGTGTAATATGTGTCACATATTGTTCAAATATACAACATATAACCCTAACATGGGGTTAAGAGGCGGATGGGGCACCTGGCTGGCTCAGTTCGTGGGGCATGTGACACCTGATCTCAGAGTTGTAAGTTCAAGCCCCACACTGGGTATAGAGATTACTTAAAAATAAAATGTTGGGGGCACCTGGGTGGCTCAATTGGTTAAGTGTCTGACCTTGGCTCAGGTCATGACCTCACAGTTCTCTTCATGAGTTTGAGCCCCACATCAGGCTCTCTGCTATCAGCACACAGCCTGCTATGGATCATCTGTCCCCCTTTCTCCCTGTCCCTCCCCCACTTGTGCACGTGTTCTCTCCTGGTCTCTCTCAAAATAAACTTTGAAAAAAATAAATTCTTATAAAAATTAAATAGGGGCGTCTGGGTAGCTCAGTTGGTTGAGTGTCCGACTTTGGCTCATGGGTTCAAGCTCCGCAGTCCATGCGTTAGAGCCCCTGTCAGGCTCTGTGCTGACAGCTCAGAGCCTGGAGCTGCTTCAGATTCTGTGTCTCCTTCTCGCTGCCCCTCCCCCACTCAACGGGGTGTGTGTGTGTGTGTGTGTGTGTGTGTGTGTGTGTGTGTAAGTGCACACACGCACGTGCTCGCTCTCTCTCAAACATAACTAAATATCCAAAAAAATTTTTAATAAAATAAAAGGGGGGCTAGACACACATTTACATATGCTTGTATATAGATGCACAGATACACAGTCATATAAACAGACACATATAGACACGAGTGAAACTGTAAGAGTAGTTGCCTCTAGCACAGGAGCAGCAAAGATCTAAGAGGCAAAAGTGAATAAATGGAATGATCAAATGATCACCCCAACTTCAACAAAACTGAGACACACTGATGGGGACACATTACCTCTGACCTATTTTTGACCAGAATGTTTAAGCTAACGCTTATCATGAGGAAACAATCAAATAAATCCAAATTGAAGGACATGCTGCAAGATCCATGGCCTGAATTCTTTAAAAAAAAACATCATAAAAGACACAGAAGGCAGGACACTGTTCCAGTTTACAGGAGACCAAAGCAATACAGCAACAAAATGCAATTTGTGCTTTTTGATTGGTTCCTGGAAAAAATAAAACACCTATAATGGATGTTATTGGGATAACTGGGACAATCTGAAATATAGGCTGCATATTGGATAAGAGTGCTATATGTCAAGACGTTGTCTGCATTGTCTTAGGAGACACTTGCTGAATTATTAGTGGTGAAAAGTACTGATGTGTACTACTAACTCTCAAAGTTGCTCAGCGAAATAAACACTGTACATAATTTAGAGTGTGCAAGTGAGCAGACACGCAAAAGGCAAAATGGTGCATTTAGGGGAAAGGTTTATAAACAGTCAATGAATTCTTCTTGCCACTTTCATGCATTTTCAAAAATTCTGAAAGTAAATAGTTGGGAAGGGAAAAATGGAAAAAGTGAGTATATAAGTCCACACTATAAGTAAAAATGTAAATAAAGGGGCACCTGGGTGGCTCAGTCTGTTAAGCAACTGACTTCGGCTCAGGTCATAATCTCTCAGTCTGTGAGTTCCAGTCCCGCATTGGCCTCTGTACTGACAGCTCAGAGCCTGGAGCTGCTTCGGATTCTGTGTCTCCCTCTCCCTCTGACCCTTCCCTGTTCGTGCTCTGTCTCTCTCAAAATTAAATAAACATTTAAAAAAATTAAAATGTAAATAAAGCCTTTTGTAGGTCTTGTATTCTAACTACAGCTTTGGGTGCGTTAATGAAAAGAACACACGAACCTGTAAACAGCCCAAAAGAAAAGAAGAATGTCTTGTAAAGCGTTAATGGGGTAAATTATTTTAAATTATCTTTGTTTCACAATTTATGCCATAATCAATTACCAATGGATACTTAAGGTACGATGCAAATTTTTGCATTGTAAGTACACGTAATTATATCTTTTCACAGCAAAGGAGATCCGAATTTTCTCCTGTGGCAGAAATATAGATCTGTACAGAAACGCAAAAAAAAATTTTTTTAAGCCCATTCAGGTTGGTTACAGTTCAATTACCCATAATCCACAAATCCAAGCATAGGTAAATTTTTTACCATTACATTTTCTAGGATGACCACTTCATTTCCCAACTTCTCAGTTAAGATTTCACGAAAAGGTTGTTTCAAATCCCTATAAAGATAGTTCCAACAAAAACACTACTGTTTGATCCAAAAAATAAAATAGTCCGTCTTTCCTCTGATTTTTCCCTAAACCTATGTCATTAAAAGGCAGGAAGCCACACTGTAACCGCTCAGTACCTTACTGCCGAATGTTCAAGAATCCCCGTTTCGGTCCAGCGTGTAAATACAACAAAACTCCCCAAACTTGTAACATAACCTCACACCAAAATACGCCTGGGAGGTCTGGGGGGCGGGGGGAGTCGCTCTGGGATCCCACCGCCCGGAAGCCAGCCCCGAACCCCGGGGGCGCCCGCTTCTGACAGCCCAGGGAGGTTCGGGGTCCCCACACGCTGGGCCTTCCCGGCCTGCTGAGCGGCCGCACCACTCGGGCGACCAGACCCCGCCCCTCCATACCCTCCCGGGTGCCCGGACCCGCCGTTCGCCCTCGCGTCCCCGCCCCTCCTGGGCCCAGCTCACTCTTCATCCTGGCTGCGGAAGCCGACGACACGCGCTCGCCGACACCAGGCGGAGAAGAAAGGGGCAGAAAGGGACGCCCCCTGGCTTCCACTCCTCTGAGGCAGGGTCCCGAACCAGGACCTCCGCGCTGACCCCGCGACAGAGAGCGTTAGGATGCGGCCGCCATGTTGTATCCCTGTCACCCTAGCAACAGTCAGGTCCCGGACGCTCCGAGGCCGCCGCCCGCGCGTGCGCAAAACACCACGTCCGTCTCGGGCGCCCCAGCGTGTACGCGTGCGCAGTGCGGCCCGCCTCCTTAGTCTAGTTGCTAAGCAACCTCCCTCGCCCCTTTTGGTAAGCGATTCCCTGCCTTTGAGTGTAGGCGACCTTCAGGGATCGCTATTTCCAGCCTGCCTGAGAATTTAGCCATGTGACCCCTAATGCTGGAACGACAGTCGAGCTGTAACTGGGCTGGGGACGCACTTTTGATACCTATTCTTTGCTGTCTCATCCTGCGATTGATCATCTCCTATTTAGTCTGGAACACAGAAGTTCATTTGTAAGTTTTTCTATTTAACAGCAAGCGTTTATTGAGCCCAGGGCACTGTTGCAGGCTTTGGGACTATAAAGGAGGGCAGTATGGACAGGGTCCCCGACTTCCTGAAACTTACATTCCAGTATAAGGTTGAATAAATGAATATGTGAATAAACTGTGTGCAAATAGGGTGGCCTTATAAGCAGACGGTGGCCAGCCCTCCGGAAACTCACAGTGCGGTAAAAATAACAACTGGATGTATCCACGTAGCGCTTTATGAAGCTCATTGTCATGTAGCTGCTTTTTTCATCCTCACTATTCCTATTCAGGTTCAGGTATTCCTATTTTTTTCAGTTACTTTTTGAAATTAAAGAAATAAAACGTGTCCTTTTGGGGAGAATAAAAATACAGAAATGTATCAAGTAAATTTTGAAATAATCCTTTCGAAGCATTTATGTCCTCCTCACTCCCCGTCCTCCCCAGAATTAACCACTGGCAACAGTTGAGTGGCATCTTTTAGCAATTTCTTTCCCCATAATCGAGAATCTGTAGATATCCTTCTATAATTTGCTTTTTACCACTTAATAAATCGTAGTCTTTTTTTAATATAAGAATATGGAAAGCTTCCCTATGCTTTTTAACTGGCACATAATATTCCACAGTATGGATATACTCCTGTTTTTTAACCATATCCCTATTAATGTTTCCTATTTTCACTGTTACAAACAATACTTCAGAAAGTATCCTTGTGCATATATTTGAGCACACATTCTCCAAAAACAGTGTGCCAACACAGAAAGATCTAGATATGAATTCCCTTCCCCCCACACTTGCACGGTCACAGCATGTCTATGAAGAATAAAGACCCATACAGTCTCTTCCCCTTCGCTGCCTTCGCTGGAGCGACAGCCAGCGAGGTTTCACCTCCCTACCTCAACCAAAATGAAGTTTAATCTGTTTGTGACTTCTGACCCGAGCGAGAACTGTAAACAGCACCTGCCCACATTCGCAGGAAATTTATGTCTTCCCCTCTTTCCAAAGAGCAGAGACAGAAGTAGTACGTTGTATCGATCCATGCCCATGTGGAAGGATGATGAAGTGCAGGTTATGCGAGGACACTACGAAGGTCAGCAAACCTGGCAAAGTAGTCCAGGTTTACAGGAAGAAATACGTGTCATCTACATTGAAAGAGGACAGCGAGCGCAGGCAAATGGCACAGCTGTCCCTGCGGGCACCCACCCCAGCAAGGTGGTTATGGCTAGTCTAAAACTGGGCAAAAACCCACGAAGATCCTTGAACGCAAAGCCAAGTCTCACCACGTCGGAAAAGAAAAGGACAGATAGGCAATCAGGAAGATGCGGGAATAAAGGAATCTGATGCACGACGTTTAATAAAAACTGTTAAAATAAAAAAAGAAGCCATTCAGGAAAAGATCAATCATAACAATGTGCCATTTTTAGTTTCTTTATGGATCCCAGTCCCTCTCTCTTGTCCCCCCTTGAGGACAGCACGTCTTGTCTGTTGGCTGGGAGCCATCTCCTGTCTAAGCCACTAGACATGAGCCCTGAATGCTGCCGCTGCCCGGCCACTTTCCCCTGTGCCCCGCCCTCTGGAGCCCATCCCCGCAGGGGGCAGACCACTTGCCCAGGTGCACTCTGCCCTCAGTATTCCCTTCCTCCCCGCCCCTGCAAGACGCCTCGGTTCCCCCCTGCACACCCCTCCTCCTGTCTCCACCCACCGCCTGCTGGTCTCAGCCTCCTCCTTCCAGCCCCAGGGGGGCCACATCCCCACAGGTGCCTGTCTGTCATTTATAAGATAAAGCCACACTTCTCACCCCACACACAATCTCCCTCCACCTGAAACCCTCAGGCCCACCACTTTGCCCAACCCACGTTCCTTTCACCTCTTTGTGCCTGAATTCATTTTGGTTTAGAAAGTTATTTTTAGGGGCAACTGGGTGGCTCAGTTGGTTAAGCGTCCAACTTTGGTTCAGGTCATGGCCTCTCGGTTTATGAGTTCGAGCCCCACATAGGGCTCTGTGCTGACAGCTCAGATCCTGGAGCCTGCTTCAAATTCTGTCTCCCTCTCTCTCTGCCCCTCCCCTGCTCTCACTCTCTCTGTCTCAAAAATAAATAAAACATTTTTATAAAAAGAAAGTTATCTTTAGTTCCTCGAATAACGTTAATGTTTTAAATATATTTGATTTATATTTAATTAATACAATTATAATTTATATTAATATATTATTTAAACGATTATATAAAACATTATTATTATATTATTTAACATATAATATGTTATATTCCATTACATTATATATTTGGTGGCTATTCTGTTTCATGGCTGCCCCATCCCCTGTTTAACTGGCCCCCTACTGATGGACATCTGGGTTATTTCTAATAGTCCGATCTTTCAAACACCGCTGCCGTGATCAACATTGTAAATACATAATTTCCTGTATGTCCATGTGTACCCAGAGGAGAAATTTCCAGAATGGAACTTCAGAGTCAAGGGCATATGCTTTGAAATTTTTAACTTCTTTTTAAAAAACTGAGTCAAGTTCATATAACATAGAATTAACCATTTTAAAGTGTGACATTGAGTCCATTCACGGTGTTGTGCAACCGTCACCTCTATCTAGTTCCGAAATCGCTTCTTTATCACCCCAGAAGGAAGCCCTGTTCCCGTTAATAGTCACATGATGCTAAATGAAAAAAGCCAGGCATTAAAACCCGCATGTGTACTGTATGGTTCTATTTATCGGAAATGGCCAAAGCAGGCAAACTGGAAGAGACAGAAAGGCGCTGGGGGAGGGAGAGAAGTGACTGCTCATGGGGACAGGGTCTCTTTCTGTGATGATGGCAATGTTCTGGAATCAGAGCGTGGTGATGGCTGCACAACTTTGTAATAATTACTGAATTGCACATATTAAATGGTACGAATGGTAAGTGGGGGCACCTATGTGGTTCAGTCAGTTGAGTGTCTGAATCTTGATCTCGGCTCAATTCATGATCTCATGGTCTGTGAGTTCAAACCCTGCACTGGGCTCTATGCCGACGTCGAGGAGCCTGCTTGGGATCCTCTCTCTGTGTCTGCCCCTCCCCTGCTCAGGCTCTCTCTGTCTCTCTCAAAATAAATAAATAAACTTAAAAAAATAATATGTGAATTTTATCTCAAAATAAATTGAAAAAACCACATAGGGTGGTTATTGCCAGTACTATGGTTAATGGTGCTATCTTTGCTGGCTCTGAAGGGCCGCATCTAATCCCTGCAGACCACTGGGATTTGGTCTCTTCCTATCTCCTTGTGGCCTTTCCTCTTATTTTGGGACTTTGTCACATTTATCTCTGTATCTCTTTCATATGCTTTTTTAAAAAAAATGCTTATTTATTTTTCAGACAGAGAGAGAGCGCAAGCAGGGGAGGGGCAAAGAGAGGGAGACACAGAATCTGAAGCAGGCTCCAGGCTCTGAGCTGTCAGCACAGAGCTCAACAAAGGGCTTGAACTCACAAACTTCGAGATCATGACCTAAGCTGAGGTTGGATGCTCAACCCACTGAGCCACGCAGATGCCCCACTTTCATATGCTGCCTCTGCCTCTTGGGCTCTAAGCCCCTTGGTCTGCTGGCCTTTTATCTCCCTGCAGGCAGAGGGTGTTACTGGATAGTCATGGAGTTCCTGTTAAATTGATGAACAGGTGAACGCATTTTGGCAGGGGAGTCCCAGCCCCATGTTTCTGGTTGCCACGGGCTGAGGGAGTTCCTGCTCAGTTTCATTGTGGACAAGCAGCTCCGGCGAGTAACGCTGCAAAGACCAGGTTGGTCTGGTTGTAAAGACCAGTGTGCTCACCCAGGCAAGCGTGAGCTGCTGGACTTCAACCCGCAGCAGCTGGGTCAGCCCATCACTGTGGTGTGCAGCTTGCACCTGGTGTGTGAAGGCCCTGGGGGCGGGGGGGGGGGGGGGCTCCAGAATGAAAGATCAAAGGATACAAATGGGGTACCTTAGCTGGAAGTTTACAAAAGGGGAATTTGTGAAAGCTTTTGCCTAGCTCAGTGGTTCTTAAGCTTTAGTAGGTCTGAAATCACCTGCCTTCAGGTGACTGTGGTTTGCTGAACCCAGATTGCCACGCCCCGCTCCCCAAGTTTCTGCGTCTGTAATTCTGGGGCAGGGCTCAATAATTTGCAGCTCTAACAGGATCCCAGGTGATGCTGCTGCTGCACTAGTGACCATATTTTAAGAACCACTGGCTTAGATAACTCCTTATTCTTTCTTTAATTCTGAACAGATTAGGAAACGCTACTTCGAAAAGAAAAGGCAATTGCTGTGGACCCGTGTCTCCCTATAGAAACACGCTCAAACACCACGCCTGGGTGTCAGCCTCCCTGGCTTACAGCTGTGGGACCTGGTCACCTGCCTCCCTGGACCACTCGTGCCCTGAATGGCAAGAAGACGAATTGACACCCAAGAAACAATGGGCCGTGAGCCCTTCTCCTGTCCAGCACACGGTGACCGCAGCCAGCCTCTTCCACACGCTCAACAGATGCTTGCAAAATGGGACCACCCTGCACCTTAGAGATGCACCTTCGAAACTGCACAAACACTACCTAATGACAGCCACTGGAGCTTCTTGATTTATTCTAAAACTTTCTCGCACAGTTCATCCCGCATCCTAGCACTAGCTTTTCCCTATTTACCAATGTCAAGACGTTCAGCCATGAGGGCATATTTAAAAGATATTCATCCTGGGACACCTGGGTGGCTCAGTTGGTTAAGCCTCCAATTATGGCTTAGGTCGTGATCTCATGGTTTGTGGGTTTGAGCCCCATGTTGGGCTCTGTGCTAACAGCTCACAGCCTGGAGCCTGCTTCGGATTCTGTGTCTCCCTCTCTCTCTGCCCCTCCCCCCTCAAAAATAAACAAATATTAAAACGCTTTTTTTAAAAAATAAAAGATATGTATTCTTCTGTGTTCAGGAAATAGGCAGAAATAAGAAAAATTAGAGATGACAGAAATTTGAAACGTGTTAACACTGGTAAGGTGGGCAAATCCAAATCCATCTGAAGATATTAGAAATTAGATTCATTTTAGAAAATAATAAATATATCTCACAGGAAACTGAGTTAGCAGGGCTATAAAATAAAGAGCACAGGAATATTGGCCATTTAAACGAACATGAAGAATGGTAGCTAACCCACCACTGTAAGGTCACGGTATAATGTGTGATGTGAATGCAAAAGTAGGTAATCAGACTCAGGGAGTCTATGCACATCTCTGAGAAACAGGCGTTCAGAACAACAGATCTCTTATAAAGTTTAAGAAAAGGTTTCCTAAAAGGAGAACAGAAAGAATTAAATTTCAGCCCTTAAAGTCATAGAGAAGAAAATCACACGAGGGGACCCCAGTCAAATCACTGGACCACTGTTTTCTCATTTCTGTAGCATGGGGTTAAAAATACCCACTCCAAAGGGTGGTAGTGCAGACGCAATCAGATGTCTGTTGCGCACGACACAATACTGCTAGATTTTTGCTCAGATGCTCAATAAATGTTGACTAATCAAAGGTATCAACTGTCACCTGCTGTTACTCCTTTCTGACACGGGAGAGCCTGATTTTCAAAGATTATCGAACATCCAGGACAAACTTTAAGCTTCGATGGGAAGGAATCAAACAGGCAGACTGATAGAGGCCTTTGCCAAGGTCACCCACTCACTAGGGGCCATCTCGGCTCAGACCCAAATCTGCAACTTCCAACTCCCTGTGCTTCCAAAGCTCCCTCACATGAATAGAGACCTTTGTAAAAGCTTTGCAATTAATGTACGTGCTTTAAGGAAGGACATTTTTTAAAAGTCTCTGGAACCAACTGATTTGTTGTAGCAAATTAGAAGCAACATCTGAAAACTCCTTCTGTTTGTCTATTTTTCCTTTCTGTTGTCTAACAGCTTTGACAGGGTACATATTGTACAATGAAGCATTTTATTCCTGCTTCCCCGCCCCGCCCCTGCTTTCTTTTCTTTTTCTTTCTTTCTTTCTTCCTTCCTTCCTTCCTTCCTTCCTTCCTTTCTTTCTTTCTTTCTTCCTTCCTTCCTTCCTTCCTTCCTTCCTTCCTTTCTTTTTTTTTTCCAGATTTGATTGGCAAGAATTCAGCTTCAACATTCAAAATGCTTTGCTCTGTCCTTGTCTGTGTGCTCCAGGGCTCCAAGTCAAAATAAAAAATGTAAAAAGAAGGTTGGAAGATAGTTCAAGGACATTGTTCAGGAAATAGACAAACAGACCTGGGCTTGGAACAAAGGAAAGAGAAGAAAATTAGAGATTCAACCCCGAAGTTTTGACCTCTGAAAAATAATGTTCCAGAAAAAGATAAGAGGAGATTCTCAAATCTCCCTCGGAAACATTCTTCCCCTGAAATGT